TCCTAAGTACTATCTATTTTTTACCTGTCCTTAAACCTGAGACTTGCTTAATTTCTTATTTAAAAGGACAGGGATTCCACATCTCTAGACAGCTTCTTTTGTTGTTTATCTGGCGGCCTTTTCTAGGCTGAATAACTGTTACTCCTGTAGTGCTGTCCCTTCCTCACTAAAACTCTTACCTCACTGTGATCTAGATTCTCTTATTTGTGTACATCTTGTTTTGTGCATATTGTGCAGAAAACAAAAATACATGGCTGTAATTGATTAGTGTCTGGTAGGACATAATGAATTCTCTTGTGTCTGTAATGCTTGCTATGTTATTTCTTGGAAGAAAAAAAAACACTTGGGCTTGCAGTCAGTTTTCTGTTTGGTATCTCTTTATAAGATGCTTTTCATCAGAACAGAATGATTGGTTAAGCCCTATTTCATGTAGATGTGCTTCATTTATTCTAAAAGATAGATTGTGTTCTGTTGGTCTTAGAGAATTTCATGTTATTCCTTTTGGAGCACTTATTGCTATAATTAATTTTGAACTAAATCCTCAAAAATACTTATGACTGCTTCTAACTGCAGATTTTATATAGCTATTGTGTTTTATCATCAAAGTTAATTAAAAGATTGAGTAGAAGAATCACAGGGAACCAATCTGAAATGCCTGTTCAATTTGAATAGAGCAATATAGGTGATATAATGGGGAAACGGACTTTCAAAGAATTAAAAGACTTAAATCTCCCTAATTAACATAGAGTAATTAAGTAGCATGAGAATGAGAGAGGGAAAATAGTGTCTTTGGCAGAGAAGCTATATGAAGACAGTCAAATGGAATAAAAGAATGATTTGCCATAAACCTTGTGAATGTTAGAACCTTTTTAGCCTTTTGCCAGCAGATATGGTGTTATGATCTTGATCTATTCTGTAAGATACTTCTGAGGTCAGTCAAAGAAATACTGTGCTATATATTCAGTAAACACTCACAAAACCCACCAGCTTTCCAAGACAGAGGAGCTTTGTTAGTATGAAAGTTTAGGGGGGCGGTTGGTTTGTTTGTGGTTTTGGTTTGGGTTTTTTAAATGCTCTCTTCAAACTTCAGCTGTGCCAGGTCAGGAAAGATCCAAGTTCTTCCCTTTTTTTTTTTTTTTTTCAATTTTTTTTTTTCCCCAGAATACAGTCCAAACAACTGTATTTAAGGTTATGTTTCCTTAGTAAGGACAGATGGAAGAAAGGCTTTGTACACACAAAAAAATGAGCAACTAAAAACATTGTTGAAATTATATGAAGTTATATGAAGTACATGAAAGAACACTGAAGAGCACACACTTTTAAAAAATGAAATTAACCTAAAATGGAAGAGAGTACCATGATATTTCTGTAATGTACATATTGTTTGTCCTAAAGCAAACAAACATACAACTAACTTCTTCAATACAAACTTTGTCTTTTAACCACTCAGTAGGTATTTTCCATCTTATTTTTGATTTGTGCTATAATCACCATGATTATGTGTGCCAGCTGCATGAATCAATCTGTGAGGCAACTGGAACTGAAGCACTTTCATTCATTGGAACCTTTTAACAGAGGTTAGCAGTGTTAGCTTTTTATTTCAATTTTGAGCAACCAGTGAAGGAGGAAAGATGTGCCTAGGAGGAAACTTTTTTTTTTTAGCATGTTGTTTGTGTGTACAGTTTATTTCAATGGCAAAACAGTAAATACAGTAATTGCATGTTAATGGTCTGTTAAATATAGTTCAAATCACAAGTGATTTTAATTCCATTTTTGTTTATAAATGAGTGTTTCTGCTAGTGTATTTAGACAGAGCTAAAGTTCATTCTCACAGGATTTAGCTTCAATTTGGTACCTGCCTGGTGCCTTGGTAAGTCAAAAGGAATAGCAGATAGCAACACTGAAAATCAGGAAGGAAAAAAAGTTTAATCTGGGGTTGGGGAAAAAAGTCCTTTTAAAAGATCAAGGCCAAGACTGTTCTGAATTATTTTAATTTACTCTTTCTGGATTTTCATTCTTTAAGGAGTCATAAGGGTTATAGAAAGGAATAGATTTTTCAGGGCTACTTTTATTTGGAGAGATACTGAGCTTCAAACAATAAACCAAGCATTGTTGATCTGTGCTAGCTGCAGAAGCTCTCCAGCCTCTCAGCTAGAGAGTGACTATCGTTTTAGCCACATGTTAAAAGGAAATGAGTTAATATTTTCTATCAAAATGTTAGCTTCCTCTATAGAAAATGTCACTTGTCAAAAGCATCTTTTCCTCATTTTACACAATCTAATGGGAAACACCTTGTGCAAATGCATTCATGTTTCTGTTTCCCTGTGATAGCTGTTGAAAGGATAAGCTGTTGTCTACTAATAGAAGCAAAAGAGTGGTGGTAGGACATCCTGATTTTTAATTATTGCTGTTAAAATTAATTCCTCATTGGCTTTGGGCAATTTATTTCAACCTCTTTTGTTTGATGTATCATTTCATCTATCAACTGCAGAGGGCAGTAGTAGTTATTATTGGATAGAGTAAGAAGTGAACCTTGCAAGTTTAACATGGTGTTTGCATTTGGGTTTTTTTTAATGCTTTAGAACAGTTATCATCAATAAATCAACATAACAATAGTGTGGGTGTCTGTAAACAGTATCTTCTAGTTCTGACTCATGCTGGTCTGATTAAAGTTCTGGCCTCCTTTTAACCTTTCATTTCATGTTTAACTATCTGAGAGAAAAGGACTTGATTAAGGGACATCCCTCTGATGAGCAGATGCATTGTCCAGATATGTACCTCCTCTAGAGTTCTCTTCATTGTCTTTCTGGTGCTCAAGGAAACCCAATTCCCTTATTTGGTTGCCAAAGGAAAAAAAGACTTGTGTAGAGATGCAAGTGTAAGTGTACAATTCATTATTCTTCTAGAACAGAGTAGTCGGAAGGGACCCTACAGTGGTCATTTAGTGCAACTGCCTGACCCATTCAGAGCTGACCAAAAGATAAAGCATGTTATTAAGGGCGTTGTCCAAATGCTTGGGGCATTGACCACTTATCTAGGAAGCCTGTTCCAGTGTTTGACCAGCCTCTCAGTAAGGAAATGCCTCCTCATGTCCAGTCTAAACCTCCCCTGGTGCAGCTTACATGTTATAGGATAGACAGTATTTTTTTGTTAGACTGGTAATGGTTAAGAAGTTCTCCCAAGTTGGAAGCAGAGAGCAGGTTGTCCTAGTTGGTGCTGACTTTTGCTTTGGTGTTGCCCAGCTGGTGATGGCTTGTCGCCCTCTGCATGCTTCCCTGGAAGTCCTCACTGTCTGTTTATCCAGCCCGTACTCTGCATGATTGTCTGTGAGGATATTATTGGAGACAGTGTCAAAAGCTTTACCAAAGTCAAGGTAAACAGCATTGATTCTTCTCCTCTCCTCTGGTGAGTCAGTCACCTCTTTGTAGAAGCCTATCGAGTTGATTAAGCACTGTTTGCTCATCATAAACCCACACTGACTACTCTCGATGACCTTCTTGTCCTTCATATGTTTGAAATTGGTTTCTGGGATTACTTACTATATCACCTTTCAAGGACTGAGGTGAGGCTGAGCAGCCTGTAGCTCCCTGAATCCTCCTCCTTGTCTTTCTCTAAGATAGAACTGATGTCTTGGGTTTTGTTTATTTTTTTTTCCAGTCCTTTTAGCGACTACAAAGGTTGAAAAGGAATAATTTTGGGAAAATCTTTTTAGTAATCTTTACCAGAAATATGTTTATGTGTATGAAGGAAAACCTGCTTATTCTACCTACTTATTCTCTAAGGCATTTTTCCATTTTTCTGCAATTTGAATTCTTCTAGCAAGTAAAATGAAAAATTGTCTTGCATATTTAACAAATGTGTATTTTAGTTTTATCTACCAGGACATAAGACTGAAGAAAGCCTGGTGAAGACAGATTTCCTAAAATGCCTTTTCATTTAAAGGAAAGGACAGGAAGTTGTTGTAGGAGGTTTGTCTAAGCTCTTCTAAAATACAAGAGTGCTTGCTGATTTTTGACTTCACTGTTTAAAATATGTGAGCTAAATCTAATGAGATGTACATAATGGAGCTGTATTTCATAGTTGCTAAGTTAAACCAGCAGTATTGCCACGCTTCTAAAAGCTAAAGATAGGAACTGGTACAGTAACAGTCCTGTATAGGTACCATGTAACTGCTGCTGAGTTACCCTTTTTTCCTGTGAATATGCATCTAATTACAGCATTGGTTAGAGCTGCATGTTCACAAAAAGGGAAAATTGACCCCTTACTGAGAGTAGGTGGGGAATTAGGGGTTTTTATTAACAAACCATCTGCTTCTGTGTATACTGATGACAGGCTGAATGTTTTCTTGAAAATAAAGTGACAATCTGAGTCAATAAACAAGTTCTACTTGCATCTAATTCTTGTAACAGCACTAATCTATCTGCATATTTGATGTGATAGCATCACTGACAGAATTAAAAGTTCTTCTGCTCTTGTTCACCTCTGGTTTATTTTTATTTCAGGCTAACTATGATCTTATGTGACAAGAATGCTTTTGTTTTAGCCATGGATTTAAAAGGGGGTGGTGAGGGTGGTTTCTATTTATCTTTTTGTTTTTCTTGTTACCTCAGCTGTAACACTGTGAGCCCTGCTGTAAAGATCAGCTGTGCTATTGGTCAGTTAACTGGAACTGATTATAATTTGATAAAAATACAAGTTTATAGATAGGTTTTTAGTATGTAGATATACTTTGCTTTAAGACTTACAATGGGAAAATGGATTACTGTTTGAAAGAATTTTCCCATAATTTTAAACTATATCACTTGGCTAATGTGATTCTTTATTGGCTAGAATTAAGTATGAGGTTATTTATCCATTATAATATACATATTATAAATTCTTCTGGTTTCATATTTTAGGTCTAAAAATATTTAGAGGAAGATTAAGTGGTTCAACAAGTAACGCTCTAATGGATGACAGAGAA